CACACAATGACTGAGAGAACTCAATTCGTTTTACCGAAGAGTCTTTCATTATTAGCAATAATAGTCACTGTTTACAAAATCACATATCCTTCCTCGAGAGCTCAACCGAGACAACTTTTTCAGGAGTATATCACACAGACAGACTGTTTCGCTGTATCTCAGCTCATCATGGTACTAGACGTCCGGTTTCCTCTAACTAGGATCGAAACTCGGGGGAATTGGAGTCAGTCGGATATACTAAACCGGTGATGAAGGTTAATTTAAGCTTATTTATTTTTAGATAAATACGCAGTGACAGAGAGAACTCGCTTGGTTTTACCGAAAAATCAGCATTATTGGCAGTAATAGTCACTGTTTACAAAATCGCACTTCCTCCATGCCCCTCTCTCTCCCCCCCCCTCTCTCTCTCTGTACATATATATATATATATATATATATATATATATATAGTTAGTTAGTTAGTTAGTTAGTTAGTACTCTCATCGTTTTTTTTTTCTTTGGGCCTTGGACTCGTATGCTGGACGATTATTTTCTGTTAACGTACATGTTCTTGGTTCTTTCTTTTTTATACCTTTTTTCCCTTTGGTATTGGTTTGATTATTTGTAAATCAACACACTGAAGATTTTCCGAGCGAGTATAGTTTCTTATACTTATAAGATCTCTATTACTACTATTACTACTACTACTACTAATACACACACATAATAATATATGTGTGTATGTATATTTATAAATATATATATATATATATATATATATATATATATATATATAATAGTAACTGTATACAAAGTAACATTCCTCCCTGACATATGTAAATATACATACATATATATATATATATATATATATATATATATATATATATATATATGTTTGAAAAGGTGTGTTTTATATCGCTCTCTCATAGTGAACGCCACAGCCCAGAAAGTTTTTTTTTCCTTTTTAAGGAATGCGCATTCCCTCTTTTCGAAGCACCTGAACAATGGAATATGCATTCCTTTAGACCTGTACCAAGGAATATGCGATTTCTAAAGAATATATAAATATATATTTAATCCGATATTTCTCTTACTTCAAACTTCATTTCCAGTGAACGATCACCGGGACGTAACGGCCTGAAGGACGACGGATCCGATCTTCGTATCCCCCACAAGGAGTGACGCAAACCCGATCCCTACCAGACAGGTTATTTTCTGTTTTAAGGATTTTTTTTCGAGTCTGCAGGCCGATATAAGTAGTACACATATTTATAATTAAAAAAGGGCATCAATTTCACTAACAATTACATTTCTAGAATATATATTTTAAAATTTGAATGTTTATGTGTTATTGTGGTTATGTTTGTTTGTTCGTGTGATTTTAATATAATTTCAGTCTTCTTCCGTCCTGATCTCTTTATTTCTCTGCATTTCTATTTAGCTGATGTTTGATCAGTGAAAATTCGAGTGATCGAGAGAGAAATAGATTCTCCCTATCGCGTTTCTAGTGTTTGCAGTAATTCAAACTTATTATCTTCATTCTGAACAAACAATAGAAATAGTTTGTTAATATTTGTGTGTATCTGTTTATTTCCATGCACAGCATGGCAACAAGGTAGGCGAAATATTTACCTCTAGTCACCGTGTAAAGTAAAAGGGAACTACCAGCCATTTCGACGGAGTCAATCGCGAGAAAAATATCTGGCAGGCCAATATCTTTGACCTGAACCTTGATAACGGTAAATATGTTTCGCTTGAATAGTTGAACTTGATAAGACAAAAACTGTCTGCTTTTGTCGATCGTTTTAAACTAAAGTCTATTGGTTTAGTTTATTTTCTCTCAGCCGATTTTTCACTTGGAACATCTGTTTATTTGTAACTATGAGGTTACATTTCGATATATATATTAAGATATATTTTTTTAATATTTCGTCGCTTTTTCTTTTTTATTCATTTTCTTATTGTTTCTTATCATTACACTAGCGGCATGGCCCGGCGTTGCCCGTGCTTGATTAAAAAATAGTACGACTAATGCAGCAATCGCTTTCACTTGACTTAAAATATTTTTGCCCTTCCTAGCCTTTAGAGGAGTGCCCTTTGCCGTGCTGATGTTGTTACATGCCTTACTTCTTGCCTATCTCACACTGCCAACTTTTTCTAAGCTCTATAGTAAACATTAAATCTGTTACGAAAAAAGGACTAAACAAAATAAACACAATACGGTCAGCTTTAAAAAACCGGAAAAAACATTTTTAAGGGTTGACCGATTGTCGATTTGCACTCTGTTTGGGCGGGGGATGCTCAGAGTTGAAACTTCACATGATGGCCTCTTCATAAATCTGCTCGGTTTTCGCTAAAAATCGACATGCGGTTCAGACGCAATCTGGGCGTATCGGCTTTTGGGTTTTATCGATTTTCCCGCGCTGTTTAGGGTCCGTGGTCATGAAACTGGACAACACTTTAATGGTAGACTCTAAGAGGGTGTCAAATTGGGTTGAAATGCGATCATTCCTTCTGTAAGCAGAATTTTTTCGATTATCGATTTTTCGGAACCTGATTCCGAACTCAAAAAAATCGTGCTCCGTCGTCCTGGCAGCCATTTGCAAACTTGTGTTGAAACCGCATCGAAATCGGGTGGGAAATCCGGCCTGGGCAAGGTAACAACGCCCACGACAGACACACAGGCAGACAGACAGACAACATGAGAAATATAGATAGTAGATTCATTGAAATATATAGTGCTTTCTGTTCAAATTTTACTCATGTCCTCTTTCTTCCTCGTTAGTTTTTCTTAATTAAACCTGCTTGCTGATAATTGTCTATTCAATGCACATTACTTTTCTTCATGGTTGTATTATTTTGGTACATAATTATCAGGCGTTTTAAACAATATTTCTTTTATGAAAAAAGTAATATAATAATTCAACAATAACATTATTAAATGAGTATGATTATCGACACGCATTTTTATTACCTGAAAATAAAATAATAATTTGATTAAAAAAAGTAAACAAAACAGAAAACAAAAATTAACAAATAATTGGACTATAAAAACGCATGATAATTATGCATCAACCCAATATTTGTATTGCTTTCTTTCTACACTTATTTTTTAATCCTTCTAGACTGTTATGTAATATCAATATTCTCATAGATTAAATAGGCAACAGAAATGTTCATCTACAGAAGGATGCTGAGAATACCATGGACGGAGTGTGTAAGATACAATGATTTTTTTTAAAGGAAATAGAAAAGAAATGGCCCTAATACTTAGCATCAGAAAGACACACATGCAATTCTTAGAACACATAATGATGAAAGACGTCTTGGATAATGTGCCAATTGAAGTCAAGCTATTCAGAGGGAAACTAATCTAATGAAAGACCTGGTAAGGGTAGTGAAATATCAAAACTTACAAAACTCGACAAAGAGAGAGGTATGAACGGGAAACGGCGCATAGAAGAATACCAGAAAATTTAATTACTTAAATCTTTAATTCTCATTACACAAAAAATCGTTAAAATTGCTGGATAGACTATCCATTCTTCTTTCCAATAATAAGACATTTTAAATGGTCATCGCCAATGACTTATTTCCTAGAAATTAGAATTGATATATAGTACAGTGGATAAAGGTGTAAATTACATCCAATGGCAGGAGACAAAAGAGCGTGAGTTCAATAGCTGGTTAAGGCTGTGGAGAACTTGAAGAGGGAAATTAACAGGAGATAACTGATAATTGACATCCATTATAAATGGACACGTGGAACTAGAACAGTCTACCCCAGTGAGCGAAATAGAGGGTTCAGTTCTACTTTCCAACCACCTGAAGAGCGTACAACGGTCGAAACGTTTTGATAAATATGGCGACAAAGATGAGGACAATAATCTGCATAATGTAAATAGTGGTTACAATTGAAATAAGCAGAAAAGACACTTTTGGAATGTTTGATAGCTTTATGATAAACTTCTTCGAACCTGAATATTTTTTACAACTGTCTATATTTCCGAGATGCGGTATTGTAACTATCTATACTATTTACATCGATTGGACTGATGTCCTTATCATTATTATCATATTCACTACGTGCGGGCCGTTGAAAGATGGAGCCTACAATGGCGGAAAGGTCGGAAACATGACCATAAAGACCAAGACAACAGTTCGAATGGTATAAAGAGTGGAAATAAATATATTTTCTTTTAATACAATCTTTGAGAATTTTTCTTTGTACATTGCTTCGTTTATATTCTATTTATATTGTCCTTTCCTTTATTTCTCTTGTGAAGAAGAAGACCTGTTACTTATTAGTAATCGTTTGTTTTTGTTCATTTCAATCTCATTTCATCTCGAAAACTATCTTTCTTTCTCTATGCTACATTGTTCGTCGTCAACAAACAAATTTACGTATTTAATATTTTTCTTCCATATATTCGCTGCATCTATCTATCTATCTATCTATCTATCTATCTATCTATATATATATATATATATATATATATATATATATATATATATATATGTATGTATGTATGTGTGTGTGTGACTTATATTTATTTTTCTCAGCCGGTCAATGAATATATCTGCCTGGGTGATAGAGCGTGTTGTCAGTATTCTGTCAATAAATCTATTTTCGATTCTTTGCCTGTTCTTTTTACTCTAAACATGTAGGAATATTCGTCCATCTACATTTCTAATGTACCCAGTCAATAGAAATGCAGACACACTGCCATTTCTATTACAGATGTGACTCATTCATTGCACACACAAACACACATACACACACACGTATATATATATATATATATATATATATATATATATTGTTCAGTATATATATGATTATCATTCAGTTTGTTTTATAAAAGTTTTCTCTTTGTTCGAATATTCTGCGAGTGTTCATGTTTGTTTACTTTTTTTTTATTCATTTCCTTTTTTTATTTATTTCTTTATATTTCACCGGTATCGCGTTCTTCCTTTGTTATTTTCGGAATTTGTTTTCATATAATTTCTTTCTGTAGTGATTATTTTTTCTTTCTTAGTCTAATTCTTTCTATTAATTTTCACCCTTCTCCTCTCTTTAACCATTCTATTTTCTTTTGTTATTTTTCCTGTATTCCTTTCTTTTTGATTTTTGTTCACTTTTTCTTTCTTTCTTTCTTTTTCTTTCTTTCTTTCTTTCTTTCTTTCGTTTTAATCTCATTCTATACGATATTTATATTCTTATTTTTTGCTATTTTAGTTCATTCTCCCATCTTTTCATAATTATGATTTTCTCTGCTTCCCTTACTGTGTCAGGAATTTCTTCTTCTTTCTTCGTTCTTTCTTTTTCATTTTTCCTAGATTCCTTTTTTCTGGCTTTTTTTTCTTCTTTTTCGTTATATTTTTTCTTTGTTTCTTTTTTTATTCTTTTCTTCTTTTTTCTTCTTAGTTTATTTTCCCTATTTTCTGTCCCACCCTCCTTCCTTTTCATAATCTATGTTTTTCTCTGCTTTCCTTGCCATATATTTTCTTATTATTTTATTTCAACTTCCATTCCCCATCGATTATTGACAGCCTGACTTTCAAAGAATCTTGCTTAATGTTCCTAGACCTTTTTCCTGTCTCACATGACTTCGGCTTCAATAGAGTTCGTCTATTTTCGTCTTCCTTCCTAGCCATTTAATGTTTGCCTTTCTCTTCACCAGAAAACTAAATTCTCCGAGTAAACCACTTGTTCTCCATTGGAAATATTCAGCACCTTCTATAGAGTCGTTTTGACAAGCTATAGAAATACCCATTTTTTTCAATAATTCCACTTTCAATTTTAATTCGCCAATTTTATTTTTTTGTCTAAATCCTTGGGAAAATGCACACTTTTTAGTCGATGAAAAAAAAATCTTTGCTCTCTACAAAAAAGCTACTGCCTAATGTTAGAGATCGTAGCCTGAAATAAAACTGCATGTGATATTTAAAGATATCTGTAAAAATTATTTAGATGTGTCTACATGTGAAAGGTAAAATATGCACTATAATGGACAGATTTATCAACACATTTATCTAAACATTCTCATGAGACAAAAGTCTTTAGAATAAAAGAAAAGATCAAGCGGTCCTCACTTTGGGCATTGAATTGTTGACTATCAACATACAAAAAAAAAGAGACAAAGAAACAAAAACTTGGTTATACAGAAGGATGTTGAGAATATCAGGGAGTGAACATGTGCATAACGAGGAAGAAAATTCCGCTTATACTTATAAGCAGAAATGGACAATTGAAATTTCTAAGAAAGTGCTTGAAAGATTTAGCACTTACAGGAGATAGATGAGATAAAAAGGAAAGAAGAAAGAAGAGAATAATCTGCCTGACGATCTTAAATGGCTGGCTGAAAAGGGATTACGAGAAATAGTAAAAACTACAAAGGAGAGGAAGTTGGGGAGAGCTATGTCCCCAGACACTGCACATAGAAGATGAAGAAGAGTGAGGAGGAGAAGGAAGAATGTTTGTAACAGATAAATATAAATATATATTTATTTACTAACATAAACTCAATTCTATTACACGAAGGCAAGTTTGGAACGATTTCTCCTTTCACATAATTTTTGAGGGACATTGTTAATACAGAGTCGCTTAAAGTAAATTTGATTATTTTATTTAATTTCAAAATGAGCTCAATCGATGATGTTTCCGAAAGATGAAAAACTGAAGGATCTATGCTACTATTCGAATTTTCATATTGCAGATCCTGATATTGAAACTAAATATGAGGAACATAAATTTGACAGGAGCAAATCATATATCAACAGCTGTCTCATTTCTAAATTTCTCTTTTTTTCTTGCTATGCACACATCGAAATCCTACAGTCATTTGCATTCTTTATTCGTCTCCTTCATATTTAAGTAACGCAGCAGCTATATTAATCTCATACATGGGATACATACATTCAAAAGTGAAGACATTGAGACAAACTGGAACATTTTATTAAAGACGCGTTTAGTGTTGTTTGGTATTAAGACTTATAATAAAATTAAAATTTCAAATCCAAAAATCTAAACGTCTCTAATACAGATATAGATAAAACAAAGAAACACAAACGTAGATAGACACTCTCCAATGTTGGATATTAAAAGGTGATAAGCTAGGCTGATTAATTTCAATTAAGATACAAGGCATTTTCCCCACACAACCTTGTCTTTCAGAGAAAGCATACGATACTCTGGTGAAAACGTGTTCTACTTTATTTCATATATATATATATATATATATATATATATATATATATATATATATATATATATATATATGACGCGTCAATAACTGGATACTTAAATACACTACACGACAACTAATTATTTTAAAGCTAAGAGACCACACCAGGAAAGCAGCAATAAATCCTATTGTGTATCTCTACAAACACTTATCATTACAAACTATTCTTTGTTACAGTGTAACCCGGATATAAGAGACCCGGATATAAGAAAAACCCGGATATAAGAGACTTCTTCTCCGGTCCCGACAACTCTCTTATATCCGGGTTACACTGTAATTAACACATTCAATTCGAAACTACTCCTAATAAATCGAAAATATTTTGTTCAAATTCTTTCCGAAAAACAGAAAAAAATATAAAAAAAAGACTAATCAAGAAAGCACAAAAAGTAAATACAGTGTAACCCGGATATAAGAGAGTTGTCGGGACCGGAGAAGAAGTCTCTTATATCCGGGTTTCTCTTATATCCGGGTTTGGTCTAATTTATATACATTAACGCAGGTTCTAATTTGGGACCAGAGTCAATCTCTCTTATATCCGGGTTTCTCTTATATCCGGGTTACACTGTATATTTGTTTCAAAGATCGTCAGGCGACATGAATGTTCGTCTAATGATCGCATGAACATGAAACTTGCGTAATATTTCGGCTTGCCTTTGATAGGAGTTAATGTTTTGTAGTGATTATTTTGCTCTATCGATGTAAATTAGGCGCTGTGGACTTCAATTTACAGAGTAGGTTGGTGTTTTCCTTTTGGTGATTTTTTTTCTCATTCCTTGTTCCTGATTTTTTCATGATTAGGGTGTTACGACTTTTCTGTTGGTTCCAGCGACCATTTTTTATTAAAACATAACATTGTCTGGGTACAAGTCTCGAAGCTGATACTATTGATTTTTTTAAACGTTAAACTTAATAGCTACTAATCTTATTAACGTGAAATCACCACTACTGCACTGTCCCACAAAATGTATTCAGATATTCACCTTCAGTTATTCGTATAATTCGTACTATTTCCCACATCTTTGTAGCCATATTTATTACAACGTTTCAGCCACTGTACGCTCCGACCTTCTTCAGGTGGCTGGAATGTTGAACTGAACCCTTTATTTCGATAACTGGGATAGACTGTTCTAGTTCGACGTGCCATGTTTAATAGAAGTCGCTTATCAGTTATCTAACTAACGCTAGTTAGATGTCAGTTATCAGTTATATAACTGACACCTTTATCCACTCTACCATGTGTCCTCAAAGACACAATGCACAGTGAATAAAGGCGTTAGTTAGATCCACTGACAGGACCCAAAGAGTGTGAGTTCAATACCCGGTTAAGGCAGTGGAGAACTTTCAGAGGGAAAATTAAAAGGAAATAACCGATAACTGACATCCATTAAACATGGCACGTGGAAGTAGAACAGTCTACCCCAGTGAGCGAATTAAAGGGTTAAGTTCGACATTTCAACCACCTGAAGAAAGCCGGAGTGTACAACGGCCGAAACGTTGTAATAAATATGGCGACAGGGATGAGGACAATAGTCCGAATAATGTAAAAAATGTACATAATACAGTGTAACCCGGATGTAAGAGAGTTGTCGGGACCGGAGAAGAAATCTCTTATATCCGGGTTTCTCTTATATCCGGGTTTGGTCTAATTTATATACATTAACACAGGCTCTAATTTGAGACCAGAGAAAATCTCTCTTATATCCGGGTTTCTCTTATATCCGGGTCTCTTATATCCGGGTTACACTGTAGCTCATCTCAGAAATATAGACAGATATATACCTTCAGGTTAGGCATATTGTGACTATTATGCTACAGGAAACAATTAAATTAATGCCGAACTGAATTCTCTTATTTAAGAAATTCCCGTCACAAGTTGCTCACTTTATTTTCAAGCAGATCATGGATTTTTATCTGACATTATTACATATACCTATAAACGCTATCTTTATTAGGTAGTGCTCATATTTGAGTAGATATCCTTGTTTTATCGTGCTTCCACATCAATAAAATGGAATACACGTCCGATTCCTCTCGGGAGACATATGTTCGTTAATATGCCTGCTAGAAGATTTTCATTCAAATAAATATTACCCCGACCTTCATATAATTAAATCATGTACATGTAAAAAGTCTGCAGTTCGTAAAACTTTCATAAAAGCCTGTGAAACGAAACAACGAACAAAATAGAAAATAAAATGTTGAGCACTTGCTACTCTCTTTTAGTGAAGAACTTGAAAAGTGTGCTTAAAGGCACAAACCGTATAATATGTCCTACCTCACAAAAGATATTGTAACAAATGATGGTGAGTCATAATTATTGGTGCGTAGATAATATTTTATGGGCTTAATTATTCAAGACTGCAAGTAATGAAAGGTCGTTCTGGGAGTTAGAAATATCGACTGAAACCCACTAGCGTAACGTTAGTAACAGTTCATAATTCAGACACCAAATTTTGGAATTACTTCTGAAAATATTCTTCCGAAAGTGTCGACTCAAACACTGACTTTTGTATATTAAATCTATGAAGAAATATATTTGAAGTCATCCCGATATAAAATGAGTTCCAATATTATATGCAAATCGCATTTCTTAAATATCCTGGTTGAATGCACGTATTATTACAGATTTTTAATAAAAGCTTGGTAGACTCTCAAGTGCAACGATGTGCAATATCAAGTGTTTCAGTTTATTAATAAAATACTGAGAACCATTCAGTTATATATCTTCTTTTCCCCGTTCCAAATTATATGCAACTTTGGCTGTAAAGAATTTTTGGCAACGACAGAAAAGCGAAGAAATGTTCACATGTGGTGTCATAGAAGAGCAACTGCAGAAGTTACTAAAAGTCTTTAAAATGATCACCACACGATCAAGGCATTTATTTCGAATACAGCTGCATACAGTTCCCGCGACGATAAAGGGAAAACATGTTGATATTTTTCTTTTACACGATGATGATAGAGATTTGAAAGCATGAACTTAAAAGTAACGAATAATTAGTGCAATTGGAGCTGCGATTACACGTAAAACATCGAAGTGCTTAATAGCATGTATAATTTTGTTTGGTAATGTTACATTGGTAGCTGATCTCAAAATTGGCCTCCACTTTGCATTTAACTGGGGCAAGAAAAGGCTTCTTAATTTTAACTCTCCCAAAATGAAATTTTCTGGTTTTCATTCTACTTCTGTCAGTGTTTCCTTTTTTTTTCTTACTATGTACATGTTTCTTTTCCTGTTTCCTTCCTTCTAAATTGAGGTTTTCTACCCCATCATCTTACCGTTAATTCGTTCTTTTCTTCTAGTTTCTCCCCACCCCCATCTAATTGATTCTTCTTTCTTCCTCTTTGTCTTATCAATCATTTGTGAGACTCATGTCTACCTCCCATCAGAAGAATAACACATTGCGCCTTCTCGAGTTAACAGTTTTAACAGTAAAAGAATATACTGAATCAATTGCAAGGTCTACTGCTAGGAAAGTTGATTCGCTGTTTTCTTTCCAGAATCTATCTTACATATCTTATATATGTGGCAGCAATATATAAAAGATTGTCGCATGTTAGACTATATATATACGTCTACAATGAGTTAATGTTTTGAATATTGCTGCCACATATAGACTTGTACTCCTGCAATATATTTAGAGATTCTTGATAAAATCCAAAGTATCTGCAATTTTATTGCTCCTGATTTGTCATCTCGGATTGAGTCACTTTTCCACCGCCGTAATATAATTTCCTTCTAACTTTCTTTTATAAATACATCTAGGATAATTGTTCTAATGAAATTGCTTCTATGGTTCGTTGATTTATGAATTTAACTGCAGTACTAGATTGGTGGAAGAGTTTCATCATTTTACAGAAGTGGATAGATGTAAATGTAAGTTATATGATAGCACTTTCTTCTATCGCACTTCTCGCTTGTTGAATTCTCTTCTTGCTTTACAGTGATATTTCTTCTTCAAAATTTAAGTGCAATGTCACTTGTAATCTAATGTTTTCTTTATTAGTATTCTTTTGGTTTATATTCTCACTTATTAACTTTCTCATATTGTGATAATAGGAGATTATCTAAGAAAATAGAAATGTAAGGAATTGGGTGTAAACTTACTAGCGATTAAAGAATGTCCTTTCTATAAATGTTTCTCTTATTAAAGTAATTTCGCTTTTAAATAATGAAGCATTTTAATCAATATATAAGATTTATATATATATATATATATATATATATATATATATATATAAAGTGTGTGTGTGTGTGTGTGTGTGTGTGAGTGGATTGAGTGAGGAGAGAGAGACATGGTGGAATAGTGGTTAACGGAGAGTTGAGGTCAAATTCCAGTCGAATCCATTATATTCGCTTGGGAATGTATTAATCCTCCAGCTATGGGTAAATAGCAGGACAGACTGGGTTCTATAGCCTTGGATGGCAACTGGTCTAAGAGAAGGACAACTCAGAATTCAAAATCTGCGGAGGGTCGTTTGGGACCTTGTGACACGGAGTGCACCAGGTCCCTCTATTCGGCCCTTCGAAAATATGTGGTTTCTTCTGCACAAAGCCTTCATCACTTTAATCAAATAATATATTCTGGTGTCTAGCTGTCGGTTCCTGAGCTGCTTTACCCTCATGCGTCGAATACTACTGGAGAGTTCAGCATACATATATATATATATATATATATATATATATATATATATATATATATATATATATATATATGAGTGTAGACTTTAAAAGTAATTTTCATTAAAGCCGATATTTCTGTTTTAACTCATCAGACTAAAGATTTTCACAAAAATGGATTTAAAATTTTACTATATAAATAAATATATATGACTGCACACATTATGAAATGGACAATGTCCGACAATTGTTTTAAGACATTTTTTATATATTCTTTATAGATACAAACATTAAAGTAAATGCTCTATTTATAATAAACGGTATTAAACAACATCTATCGTCCTGAATGTCCGAGAAAATTTCATAGAAAATATGTGCCTCCGCTAGGAATCGAACCTGTGTCATATAGCCTGTCGTGTCTTTTAAGCGATTTGTACACAGAGGAGCGTTCGGTTAGCAAGGTCCATTTTACTGTCATTAAACTACAATCTTCCATGATTCTCTCACGTACATTGATATCTGCTCATGGTGTATCCAAATATAAACAAATGACGTCACGCATTATGAAATGGAGAAAGTCCGACAATTATTTTAAGATATTTTTTTATGTTTATACATTCTTTTTATAGATACAAATATTTAAATAAATGCCCTGTATATAATATGAAAATTTCTCTGACATTCCAGCCGGTAAATTTTGTTTAATACGGTTTATTGTACACTGATTTTACCAGCAAACAGTGACACTCTGTTTCATGCTTCAATGCAATGTTCAAGTCTCTGAAGATAATGTTGATGGATAAAATGACTGTCGCCACTTGATTTTGAACTCCTTATGCATTTCTATATAAGTGCGTACACTATGTCTGATACTGACCACATTACTCATAAATGTAACATACTTTAAAACTATATATTGAGGCCCAACCCCTAAATTTCATACTTGATCCTTGTTGATCAGATACTGCTATGCTAAGTAGTATCTTGATATTTAATTAAAAGTGGTAGAAACGGCTGTTCATTGTGATCCCAACGTAAATACAAAAACATGGGAGCAATTTCAAAACGACCCACAATGAAATGTGATCTAGTTGTAGGCATCACACATGATAAATTATGATCCTGTGTCACATTGTTCGACTTGAAATAAGAGAAGATTAAAAACGCATATATATATATATATATATATATATATATATATATATATATATATATATATATATATATTACCTTTTCTGTTGCTATTTTCTGGTTTTCCTTCTGTTTCTCTCAGTGTTTCCTTTTCTTGTTTTTTCTTACTATGTACACGTTTCTTTTCCTGTTTTCTTCCTTCTAAATTGAGCCAATTATCTACCCAATTATCTTACCGATAATTCGTTCTTTTTTTCTAGTTTCTCCCCCTCCATTTCATTCTTCTTTCTTCCTCTTCGTCTTACTTCCTTTAGTCAGTGTTCATTGCACTAGTTATTTTCGTTTCATATGTCCTTTCTTTCTTCTGTTTTTTTTCTTTATCGCTTCTTTTCTTTATTCATTATTTTTCACTTTTTCTTTCTTTCCATATTTTTACCACATGCTTTTCTTTTCTTCGTTATTACATCTTCCACACTTACTTATCCTGTATATTTTAACCTTTCACCCCGTCGTTTTTACAATTAATTCTCTTATCTATTCATTCAGAAATTTTCTTCTAACTCTGCTATTATTTTCGTTCGTTTCTTTCTCTACATTGTTTTTTGTTATATTCTTCTTCACTCCTCAACATCATACTTTCTTTCTCTCCATTCCACTCTTTTTCCTTCTTTATATTCTTTTATATTCCCTTTATTTTTCTCCTTTTTCTCTTCTCGTTTCGTTACCTTCTTCTTCTTCATCATATTTTATCCTTTATTTATTATCTTTTATTTTTATCCTTACTCGCTTCTGTTCGTCTTGCCTATTTTCCTCGTACATTTATCGCATTCTATTTTCCGCCCTTTTTCAATAATTTTCCTTTGCTATATTGAATCCAACGCACCGGTGAACGAAAAAATGTCTCCTGTCATTATGACTAGGTCCACAACAAAGTCACCTTGACATATCCGTTCAGTACGTGTCACCCGATTAGCCTGCTTAAGGTAAGAAACCCTGAGTTTTCAGGTTTCCACATAATGTGTAAGCATTTCTAACCGCAAAGCCGAAACTGTAATGAACAAAGCTCTCACTTCAGCTAATTTCTAAAGACAGATATTTTTGCTTGATTTTTAATCAGTTTCATCTAATTCTTAATTAGCAACAAAATTTTTTTTTTTTTTTTTTTTTTTTTGTAATGAACAGATTATTCACCTCTCCTCATGCTGGAGGTAAGATGCTGTCGATCCAACCGACTTCCTGATATTTCTATAGCTAATTTTAGTATGACACAAGGGCAAATAATTGGGAAGTGGCGCAAACATAACTGTATCACATCACTTTCCTAAGTGGAAAGTACCTTACATTCTAACTTAAAAATCAGCTTTTGAAATTCGAGATTTTACTTGGGTTTGTATTTCCATCAAGAAGAAATAAAATTTCTATCAAAACACAAACCTCAAATAACCGATTTTCAAATCTGTTTTTATTAAATATTTCAGCCAATGGAACAATGAAAACTGGTGATATGAACCCCGATTTTTCAAATAAATGCATAAAAATATGGAAATGATTTTAATAATATCATATCTCATCAGAGCCGAGACCATAATTCATATACACAGATTGCATTTATTATATGTGAATTAAAATGCATTCTTTGAAAATATATTGGAGTGGTTTTTCTCCACAGATTGGCATTCAGTGTTTTCCTTTTCTTAGTGATTGTGATCCCCGTTGATCCAGTTATTCAAGCCATGGCTGATGTGAATAGAAGAGGCATAGTCATGCCTTTTACAAGTGTATAGGCGGAAACGCGAAAGCATCAGATTTACCCAGAATTTGAACACTGATCGACGATTCCAATCTTCCCAGTTACGCTAGACGCATGTCCAAAAAAGATAATTATAAAAAAACGTCATATCTGCCGAAAGGTAGGACATAAGTTTTTTAAGGGAAACTAATATCAATGTATTGGTTGTTTTATTCACTTTCCGAAAGTCCACTAAACAAATTAATCAAAGATGACGAGATGGAAACATATTTTTCTTCACTTTTGAAATGAAATGTTGTTAGCATTTATTTTTTTTTTTTATAAAGATTTGGCTCGTATATTCTACGACTTATCTCTGGTGAACTTGAAAATGACGAATAAAAATAATTATCTGTTTGACATGCGAACGCAATATCTGATCTGATATTAACCCCTTCAAATAATAATAATAACAATTGAAATGATTGATTGAAAAAGAATGTAGTTACTGAAAATATAACATAAAATATATTTAAACAATGAGGAAGAAATTGAAGTGATAGCGAAATAATGGAAAATATTTATCACAAAATAAAAAAAAAAGTAACGAAAGAATTGAAAGTGAGAAAGCCGGTTCGCTCAGGTCAAAGTGTCATATCCATCCGCGTCACGAAAAATGACAATACTCGTTTATCTTCGTCTCTCTTAATACTTTAATTTCTCTGCTTTTATCCATCCGCCCCATTTTTTTTTTTTTTTTTACTTTAGTTGAGGTCGTTCGTTTATTCGTTTATTTCTTCATGTTTTTATTTCATTTGCTTTTCCAGTTTTTACGCGTGTTTTATCTTTATTTTTTCCTATTTATTCACTCTTATGCACTATGAGTCATTCTATCACCAATGACGTGTTTTTCCTACCTAAGACTATTTTTCTTATATTCTCGCTTTATATCATTATTTTTCTTACTTGTCTACACTTTTTCATTAGATTTTTTTTATTTTCAATCTCATCACCTCCATGATTATTATTATTATTATTATTATTATTATTATTATTATTATTATTATTATTATTATTATATATAAAGCTTAACTTAGTTTGACACAAGGCAAAAAGTATAGCGTTTGGTTTGGTATGTTTTACGGTATATCACCCTCAGTGGGTTATTTAATTCCGACAAGATTTTTATTACTGATAATATTTATTTTTCTAAAATGTATTGCTGCTGTTTTTTTAATGTACAGCTGTTTCTTTTTTTTTTTTCAATAATATATAGCTGGTAATATCACTTTTTTCCAAAAATGTATTGGAAATAATAATTTTTCTATAAACATTTGTTGCTGGTAATAATTTTTACAAATTATTTCTGGTATTAAAATCTATTTTTACACGAGTTTAGGCGTTAACTATTTGCCCATACCTGGGATCCTAACAGGTACTACCACCCCGGGTCAGGGTGGACCTGGAAACGCCAGCAATTAACAGGTGGTTCCCGCTCCTCAAAACCTCCTGATCAGAGGCCTTGCTGCTAGACGTATTTTATCGTCTTACCCAGGACGCAGATGTAGTTTTATCCTCATAGCCAGGAGGGGAAGTATAGCGTACGATAGTTTTTACAAGTAATGATGAAAGTGTTCGGCTTGTTGATCATTGCATCACCACAAATGTCCATGTTTAATCTAGCAGAAGACTATAAATATGTAATACCAATCGAAACCTACCGATACTAATGGCCAGCAAGACTAACTTGCTCTCTAGATTTCTACATTAATATCACTAATTATATGCAACCATTTGAGAAGTAAGATCATTACGCGTGTATGTGATAACGAGTCATGATTTCTAAACATCAGAACTACTTTCAATAGTTTTTGTGCTTGGAAGAAATTATAGTATCAGTTTCGTTTCGGTTAAAGCAGCAAAGGACGCATTCTCCCAAGATCCATAACAAGCAGTCGTAACTTCGGTTTAAAGAACATGTGACGGTGAATGTCGACACCTATGGGACAGTTGCCGTGGCAGTTTTTGTTCTCTATATATGGTCAAAATATTTTAACGCGTCTTAAAAGCTCATATTTAAGCGAGCATGTGAAACCTCCTATCAATGTATAGATATTGGTAAATACCAATTGTCTTTACACAGTCTTTGCACTGAGTTCAAAATAGATTATCTATTTTCATCTTCTTTACTGTAGTTCCAGGAAATTCTTTGAGCAATACTTGAACCTGGGGATTCCAGCACGACAGCAGCTGTTCTGTCAGCGCTAAACTGAGGTTGTACATTTTTTTAACATTTCCCTATATGTACGCATAAATTAATCCAGTTTAAACCGACAATCAGATAATCTGCTAATATTGGAAACTTTCGACTATTGGTATTTAAATTAACCCCAGACTTCAAGTGAGATTCATACATACGATCCATCGCTAAAATTACATGAAAATGGTTCGTTTCCTCTACCACTAGTAGGTAGCTGACTCTTCCCTTGCTCTCCTCTACTAAAGTCAGACCACGTATAAAATGATGTACTGCTCTCGTATTTGCGTAGAATCTGCTCAGTCTTCACCTTCCAGTCTCTATAGAGCCCAAAAGCGTCCCAGCATCCTTCTGGTTTACAAACTATTTACGACCAGGTAAACCACCTCACAGACAAGATGTAGCAGTCCTCTTGCTGCTCTATCACTACTTCTATGGAAAGTGCTCAGACGAGCTACATTCTTTGTTTTCGCCAGTTCTAACCTTCACCTCTAGAATCCGCTATGCTACGCACATTTTATCAAACCACCATCATCCCCATCCCGTATTCTATTGGTGAAAAAAGAAGTACCACCCGAGTCGCTTCTTCCCGCGAACAACTATCTGTTGAACCGATTCCGATGGTTATTTGATCATTACCCTCTTAAGCTGTTCAAGTCTAGGGTTAACCGTTATTTTTCCAACCTATCCACATAACCTGTGTCTCTTAATCTCTAACCCTCTACCTCGAGTGGCTCCCGGCCCTTGTACAGGGTGAACATAATTATATAAGGAAATAATACCTTTGGAAAGGGACCAAGCCATAAAATCGTTGTTCTTCCTCTATGTTTTATTCCTACATGCAAGCAGTTCACGGAAAAGAGATATAAGTGATGTCTGATTACGGCGGTTGAAGTATTGTGGTATCCCCTCCCTAACAGCAAAGACGCCTGATCCCAAGGCTTGCGTAACATTGGCGGTGGGAACTCGGCAGACCCTGCTTTGTCCTAGTTTTATATGTATGTATATGCTTAGCCATATAATACTGATATATGATATCTCACCAACATGCTGTAGGTAATTACCATTTACAATAAGAAAAACGTGATTTCTATTTTCACTTGATTATTGCTAGTCAAATCTTTCGTTTTTCATATTTACAAATGCTATATTCTAGAGATTTAAATTATTTCATTTAATTTTTAACTTTAATTTAATTCATTATATTTATATTAGTAAACTTAATACGTTCACTTACTTTCGGGCGCGCTGTTGTTTAAATTTTCAACATAATCTATTTTCTTCTTAATTTTCTACATCAATATATTAATTTATTTTCTTTATGTGATGTTATTTTTAAGACTTTTTCCTTCTTTATTTCACTTCATCAGTGAATTAATGCATCTACACCCCTAACCTATGAGTGCCCTAACACTAGATCTAAGGTTTGTAATCTCGGTTACATTGTATTTAAACAGACGTGTGGTATTTACGAATGGTGGATTCTCTTAGATGAATATACAGTGTTTGGAAAATGTTTGGCAAACCCAGCCAAGAGTTATTAATATGCAATATAGTACTACCATTCATGAATGTACTAAACAATACAATTTTTTTTCATGTCTAATGGAGTTCTGTGTCATATGTCTCCGTTTGGAATATTGGTTCAGTATCAGGATATCGGACATTAGGAATGGATGGCAAAGTCATTGGATCTCGATCCGAAAATGAATTTAGAAAAATATGAGGGGAAAGAAGTAACCAATAAAAATAAGTGAAGGTTTAGAAGCAATAAAAATATGTAGTCACAAGAATTCAACCTTGACATAAATAAGTTTGAGTGTTAAGGTATTAATAAAAAACAATTATTTTCTTTGTAAATACTAAT